TTTTATTTTTTTTTATAAATTATTTTATTGTATATTTTAAAATTAATTAAAAATTTTAATTTAATTAAAGGTTTTGAGGATGTAATGCAGATTCGTGGTACTCAATTAGTTTGTAATGAAAAGGATCATACTCCATTTGCTTTTATGGAAAAGAATGGACAAATATATAGACGAGTAGATTGTACACTAGTGGTAAAAGAAAATTTTATATGTGAAAATTGTTTTAAGTTAAAAAAAACTTTACAACAAATTCAGCAGAGAATTTTAACTGGAGTAAATTCAACAAAAACAATACATGCATCTAAAGAAATACTTATAGAAAAAGTTAATCAGCAAAGATTAATAATAAAAGAACAAAAAAAAATAATTATCAATCTAAAAGAACGTCTTAATCAAAAAATTAAAAATGAAGAAGAAGAGGTTTCTATTGAAATGGTAAATATTGCTCAAGTTGTTTCTAAAAAAGTAAATAGTAAAAAAATAGAGATTTCAAATTTGCACCCTATATTTCAAGAACTTATTCGTATTCAAATTGGAAAATCAAAAGGAACTAGATATCATCCTATGTAAGTTTTATTAAAAAAAAATATTTTTTAAAAAAAAATAATTTTTTTCAATTAAAAATAATATTTTTTTAGGTTTTTAAGATGGGCGATATCAGTTTATAGCAGATCTGGTTTCACAGCTTATAATGCTATGAAAATGATAATGCGTTTGCCATCAATTTCTATATTAAAAAGTTATATAAACGAACATGAACAAAATTCGGGATGGTAGGATAAAATTACATCTCAATTATTATCTAATTTATTAATAAACAATGTTTGGGAATATGGAAGGATAGGATTTTTCTCGCATGATTCTTTTAAGATTCAAAAAGATAAAAAAAAATTTTATATTTATTTTTTAATTTTATATTTTTAATTTATTTATTTTTTAATTTAATTATTTTTTAATTTTATTTATTTTATAATAATATTTTATTTTTTAATTTATAAAGGATTATTATGGAACCAGCGTAAAAATTGTTATGTTGGTTATTTAGACTTTGAAAATGAGATAGACGAATATCAAAAATTTGCATTGCAGTGTAAATACAAAATAGAATCAATAACAATGGAAAATAATTCCAAACCTGATTGCGTATTACCTAATAAACAAAAACACAACCTTGCAACACAAGTGCATCAATTCATTTGGTACTCGATAACACATAATTTTTCATTTCCTATATCTTACTATGGAATTAATAATATAACAGTGCATAATTTAAATACTTTGATTTTTGAACTAGCAGCAAAATTAGAATGTATAGGGATACATACATTGGGTTCATTGTGTGATGGAGCAGGAGAAAATAGATCCCATATAAAAAGTTTTGATTGGTATGCATCAAAATGGACTCTTGGAGATATTGTGGAGGTTAATTTCAATAAAGATAAGAAATCTTTTCATATAGCAAAAATTTTAAGTAGCAATTTTGAGAAAACAAAATTTATTGTAATTCCACTTGACAATAATAATTCTGAACCAATTAATATTGAAAGAATATTTATTCGTCTTCCGATGCCATCAAAATTAGAATAGAAGATTAATGACATGTGTGAGTTTAAAAATCCAAATGATAATCAATGGTATTTAGGAAAGATTATCAATCAAGATTTAATAGAATTAGTTATAGAAATTCCTGAGCTTATGCAACAATGGAAAATTATAATTCAACATTGCAATGGTTTTCTTCGACCATTATACAATACTCAAGAACTTTTAACAAATCACAAAACAATAAATCCTATAACTGGCGAGAATTGGTTTTTTATTAGTGACTCAACACATGTATTTAAAAAACTTAGAAACAATTTGGCAAAAAGTCACACTGGTGAAAAAAATACTCGAGAAATAATGTTTAATGGAAAAGAAATTAGTTGGAGACATATTAAAGGTGTATATGAACATACAATACAGCATATGACAGCAAAAGCAACAAAACTTATCAAACGACATATATGGCTTATATCATGGAGTAAAATGCGAGTTGAACTTGCGGAACATACTTTATCAAAAGAAGTAGAAGATGCATTAGAATCTATTGATGAATTAAAAGAAATTTCCGAAGGAACAAAAGTATGTTTTTTTATTAAATACTTTTAAAAAACAAAAAATTAATTTGAATTTTTTGAATTTTTTTTTTTAAGGATTTTATAAAATATTCGCGAAAATATAGACAAATAATGCATAGCAAAATTAATTTCCAGTCATTAGATGATGAACGTCTTCATACCTTAAAAGAAATTCGTAATTGGTTTATATATGGTGATAAACAAAAATCAGGACCAAAGGCATGGATCTCATCACAGTGCCAATTTGACTTAATTTTGTCTATTGATGGTTTTATTGGAATGCTAGATTTTTTATTAAAAAAATATCCTGGATCTATGATTCAATCTAAACGCATTTCTCAAGATATACTCGAAGGACTTTTTGGTACAATCCGCGAACTTGGTGGAGATTCTTCTACACACACGCTTAAGTCTTATGGATATTCTTTAAACAAATACCAATTATCATCATTATTTTCTAGAGAGGTGAAAAGTATTAATTATGGAAGTGCTAATTGCATTGGGACTGGAATTACCACTTTAGCAAGAAGGTATATAATTAAAAATTTATTATTGTTTTATTTATAATAATGAACATATGATATTTTAATTGTGTCGCGACTATTAATTTAATTGTGTCATGGTTATTTAATTGAATTAATTATATCGCGGCCATATAATTAATTTAATTGTTATTATTATAATTGATTTAATTGTGTTGCGGTATATAATTAATTTATAATTGATTTTGTGTCGCGGCTATATAATTAATTTAATTGTTATGATTATATAATTGATTTAATTGTGTCGCGGTATATAATTAATTTATAATTGATTTTGTGTCGTGGCTATATAATTAATTTAACTGTTATGATTATATAATTAATTTAATTGTGTCGCGGTATATAATTAATTTATAATTGATTTAATTGTGTCACGGCTATATAATTAATTTAATTGTTATGATTATATAATTGATTTAATTATTGTCGCGGCCATATAATTAATTTAATTGTTATGATTATAATTGATTTAATTGTGTCGCGGCTATATAATTAATTATTATATTAATCCTTGTTTTTTAAAATATTTTATTTATTTATATTAGTGACCATCGAAAAAATAAAAGAAAATTTTTAGATAAAGAAAATAATTGTTTTTATCAAGAACATCATATCAGATTGGCACAATTATTGCCTTTCTCTCGTACTATCTTTGAAGACCTTCTATCAGAAAATCTAATTATGGGAAGAATTGATATTCCATTAAACTTATATAATGAAAATGTTAATTCTGAAAACTTTAAAGTTTTGCAACTTCAAAAAGAAAGGTATGATCTTATAGAAACTATTCTTTATCAGGATTCCATCAATGAATTATTGGAAAAGTGGAAAGATATAATTAAAAAAATGGCTTGTGAGGCAATTCCAAAAAGAATAGGAGTTCAATGGTTAACAAAATGGAGCTCTCACCTGGAAATTTGTATAAACAATTATCAGTGTTCTGGAATTTGGTACAAGGATTTTCTTGCAACAACTAATTTAAATGGTTCTTCAACCCAAAGACTTGTTGCATATTTGCTTTTATAAAAAGTAATCAAGTATACATTTAGTAAAAATACAATGCAAAATAATTCAAACAATTATCTTTCTGTGGATTCCCATTTTATTCCAAATGAAACAATTATTTTAGAACCAGCCGAAGCATCAAAATTCTCTTATATCATTGGATGGGTCATTTATAAGCTAACCAAAAGTGACAATATAATGAAATCACATCCTAAATTCGAAGCTATGTGTGCTCATCTTAAGGTTCTAAGCTCAGAACAAATTGTATATGAACAAGATGTACGATCTCAGATAACAAATGTGATACCTGGTCAAGATTTCTTAGATATTATGTATAAATTGGAATCACTAGTATTATTATTATTTGAAAAATATAAGGAACTTGGTCCCAATATTCTTTTATATATACATAATAATTTATTATGTAATTTATTTTTGTGGAAATCTTTTATTACAATCTTTAATATTTCTGGTCAAATACTCTATACACATAACCCAACAAACACTGAAAAACATGAATTAACTGAAGAAACCAAGAAATTTCTCTATGAGCGAATTATTTCTATCTATATGAGAAGTAGACAAAAATCCTGGAGAAGGTTTAATGAACTTACTCCTGAAAAAGGAACTTCAAGTCTTCGAGAGAATCTTAAAGCTATGAAAAATGATATAAAAAAAATTGATAACAAACCAGCATTAATAAAAAAATCCAATATTCCAAAGGATCCTATGCTTGGATTGGAGCAAATTCGAATTTGGGCACATTTAGAAAATGTTGAGAATGAATTCTCTAAAATATTTTTAATGAATGAATTAAAATGGTTACTTTGGGCCTTTGGAGATAATTCAAAAAACAAAAAAAAGAAAGACTTAATACCTTTAATTTTGGATCATTTAAAAAAGGGAACACCTTTTTCTGAGGAAGCCTTAGCTAAAGGTCATATTTTTGTATATTAAATTACCCAAAAGAGAAAAAAAAAGTATTTTAAATTTCCACCATGTTAATTTCAATTTAATAAAGTTAATTTCGATTTAATAAATTTATAAATAAAAAATATGTAACTCAATACTGGACCAATTCAAATAAAAACACTTCGCCTATATAGAATTAACATAAAAGATCTTTACTTTTGAGATCGGCTTTTTAAAAATAAATGTACGGCGTTTCGTTTGCAAAAAAAATTATTTTCTATAATATTAGTTTATCATGTAACAGATATGTTAAATTCAAATCTAATATAATTGTGTAACCATAAGTAGTTCCCCCCATTAATTTAACTATCTCCTAGGTTATACAAACATAACTATCAATTCATAACATTAATTATTATCATTAACATTATTTAACAATAATTATTAACATATAGTATTAATTAGTAATAAATATATTTAGTAAATTATAGTAACCAATAATAATAGTGCACAGTAAGGTACAGTAAGGCACAGTAGGCACAGCAATGGCACAATAATGAAGATCATTAGATTTAGATATAAAAAGGGACTGAAATTATCTTGCCTCTCTTTAGTTTACAATTTTATAATTTTGAATTTTGATAATTTGTAACTTATTTGAAATTGATAAATTTAAATTTTATAATTTGTAACTCCAGATAATACTTGTAAAAATTATCTTGTAATGAAATTAATAAAATAAATATTAGAAATATAAATATAAATTATAAAAATAATTTCTAAATAATACAATATGTAATTAATAAAGGAATAATGGATATTATGGGATTAAATACTTGATTGTATAATTGTATAATATTATTATTCCTGAGTTAATAAAATTAATTATAAACTATTAAAAATAAATCCTGGACTTGAAATAATAATTAACCTGAATAATTGGAAATAATACTTAAAGTTGATAAAATTAAAAGATAATTAATGAATGGATATTAATACTAAGGATGATGATGAACTTGAAAAAGATATTAGGATAAATTAAATGAAAGGTCTGATTCCCTTTCTAAAATAATTGAATCAGTGGTGTCTTCTAAAATAATGAAACAACAGTCTTACCTTCGGGAAAGGACTATAAACTCCTTAAAAGAATCGTCAAGTCATTCCATTAGGTAGTTCTTGAGAAAACCAAGAACCATCGGTGACAACGTTCGAGAAAATCAAAAATATATAACCCAAAAACGGATCGCATGATCGTAATCAATGGGCCAGCATATAATAGACTGTTACGTGATGGTTATATGCATTGGAAAGAGGAAAGACTTTTGATCCCGCCATTCAATGAAATGACAATATTAAGAAAATGTCTATCTTTTGCATCTAATAAGATTTGAAGTATTTTTGCGAAAAAAGACTTACTTGCACTAATCAATGGAAGACTAAGTTTATTAGAAATTCTACTCAAAGTAAACTATAATGAATTCGTTATATGTAATTTGTTAAAATTTTGTTGGAATCGTAGAGAAACAAGAGAATTGTAAGATAATATCCTCATGAAATTCCTCCATCACCCAAATTTAACTCTATCGAAATATAAGCCAAATGCCTTGTATGATGCATTCAGTAAAGCAGACGTTCTAAGTTCAGAACATATACTCGCTATAGCTCGAACACTGCGATAAAAAATAAAAACATAGTACCCAACCATTATAACCTGAGTCGTCACACTCTAGGTTAATTTTTTCGTTATATTTATGTATTACTAAATTTCAAATCGACAAATGTGTAGCATGTACCTGATATATATCGATTATTTTTCCTAGGACTTCCTTAAGCAATGCTATATCTTCTTTAATGCCTGCTATATTTTGCGCAATCTTATTTCGCTGAGCTACGGATTCCGTAATCTTTGGTCGAACTCGTGTCTTGTTCACATCCATTTTCCGATAGAATTACATTAACCACGACCTATTCAATTTTTGGTATATATACCGGCCTAAGGTAATTAATTTCGATTTGAAAAAATATATTCCGTAGTGTATATAACCTAAAGAATTGTTCATAACCTACTACAACGCTTAACCATGTCAGCTATCACAACAAAAATCATTGAAAAATATAATCTCAGCTACAAGACTGATCTGTCTGAACTATACCTGCCACCCAAATTCAAAATCCAAATGCCAAAATCCCAAATGCCAAAATCCCAAATCCCAAATTCCAAATTA